GGAAAAAAACAAACTTCCTTGAAAAATTTTGTAGCAGTTTCAAAGTTAGTCGAATTATTGTTTGGACAGATACGAGTAAAATATCAAAAAAGCACATGTTTATCTCGGGGTTGAAGGGGGGAAATTCAACCCCAAAGTTGACGAAAAAAATCAAACTTCCTTGAAAAATTTTGTAGCAGATTCAAAGTTGGTCCAATTATTGTTTGGATAGATACGAGTAAAATATCAAAAAAGCACATGTTTATCTCGGGGTTGAAGGGGGGAAATTCAACCCCAAATTTGACGAAAAAACCAAACTTCCTTGAAAAATTTTGTAGCAGATTCAAAGTTGGTCCAATTATTGCTTGGATAGATACGAGTAAAATATCAAAAAAGCACATGTTTATCTCGGGGTTGAAGGGGGGAAATTCAACCCCAAATTTGACGAAAAAACCAAACTTCCTTGAAAAATTTTGTAGCAGATTCAAAGTTGGTCCAATTATTGCTTGGATAGATACGAGTAAAATATCAAAAAAGCACATGTTTATCTCGGGGTTGAAGGGGGGAAATTCAACCCCAAAGTTGACGGAAAAAAACAGACTTCCTTGAAAAATTTTGTAGCAGTTTCAAAGTTGGTCGAATTATTGCTTGGACAGATACGAGTGAAATATCAAAAAAGCACATGTTTATCTCGGGGTTGAAGGGTGAAAATTCAACCCCAAAGTTGACGATAAAACCAAACTTCTTTGAAAAATTTTGTAGCAGATTCAAAGTTAGTCGAATTATTTTTTAGACAGATACGAGTGAAATATCAAAAAAGCACATGTTTATCTCGGGGTTGAAGGGGGGAAATTCAACCTCAAAGTTGACGGAAAAAAACAAACTTCCTTGAAAAATTTTGTAGCAGTTTCAAAGTTAGTCGAATTATTGTTTGGACAGATACGAGTAAAATATCAAAAAAGCACATGAAAATCTGGGGGTTGAAGGAGGGGAAATTCTACTCCAAAGCTGTCGAAGAAAACCCAACTTGCTTAAAAAAATTTGTTACACCCAATACCCAATCCTCTCCAATTGGAACAATATTCTAGAAATAGCGTCCAAAAATGGCCAAAAATATACACATGATTCCTACTTGTGGCGTCGTGGAACATGGCACACTCCAAAATTTTACCATTTCAGTTGACACTATGAAACGATGTTCAATCAACGCCGACTAAACAAGATATGTTCCTATATACAGTTGCGATAAAAAAAAAGTAGTACAAGAAAAATCTCCAAAATCTCCTGGTCTATAATATGCATTAATTTAATTCTTAACCAAAAATGACGCATTTTTGGCATTTTTCGACAAGTTCTTAACCCAGGAAGTTTCAGATGACATTACTTTGGCATTTTTGCACCCGTTTTCATCCTAGAATATATCATTGCCTGTCAAAATTTTGTATGTTACTCTGGGAGCTCGAATTGGGGGAATAATTTTTGTACAACTTTTTTTCTATCCCAACTGTACTGTTAAACATGATGAAGTACCGTACCTACCTGCCACTTTATCGACATCTATTATTATTAAGTATAATCATAAAATGGAAATGAGTTACCGACCTTTCTTCCCCTTTTCTCAAAGTGAGCTGAGCTTATATTATATAGGAACCTGATCAACTGAATCATAGACGCACGTGTTGCGAAAATTAATTCTAAACGAGAAAAATTAATTTTTATTGTAAACTTTTCTGAACTGAAAAGTGGGATGGAAATCTCTTTTGGGAAAATGTGACTTCATTTTTCAAAGAAGTTTGTTTTTTTTTGACAACTTTGGGGTTGAATTTCCCCCCTTCAACCCCGAGATAAACATGTGCTTTTTTGATATTTTACTCGTATCTATCCAAGCAATAATTGGACCAACTTTGAATCTGCTACAAAATTTTTCAAGGAAGTTTGGTTTTTTCGTCAAATTTGGGGTTGAATTTCCCCCCTTCAACCCCGAGATAAACATGTGCTTTTTTGATATTTTACTCGTATCTATCCAAGCAATAATTGGACCAACTTTGAATCTGCTACAAAATTTTTCAAGGAAGTTCGATTTTTTTCGTCAACTTTGGGGTTGAATTTCCCCCCTTCAACCCCGAGATAAACATGTGCTTTTTTGATATTTTACTCGTATCTGTCCAAACAATAATTCGACTAACTTTGAAACTGCTACAAAATTTTTCAAGGAAGTTTGTTTTTTTCCGTCAACTTTGGGGTTGAATTTCCCCCCTTCAACCCCGAGATAAACATGTGCTTTTTTGATATTTTACTCGTATCTATCCAAGCAATAATTGGACCAACTTTGAATCTGCTACAAAATTTTTCAAGGAAGTTTGATTTTTTTCGTCAACTTTGGGGTTGAATTTCCCCCCTTCAACCCCGAGATAAACATGTGCTTTTCTGATATTTTACTCGTATCTATCCAAGCAATAATTGGACCAACTTTGAATCTGCTACAAAATTTTTCAAGGAAGTTTGATTTTTTTCGTCAACTTTGGGGTTGAATTTCCCCCCTTCAACCTTGAGATAAACATGTGCTTTTTTGATATTTTACTCGTATCTATCCAAGCAATAATTGGACCAACTTTGAATCTGCTACAAAATTTTTCAAGGAAGTTTGATTTTTTTCGTCAACTTTGGGGTTGAATTTCCCCCCTTCAACCCCGAGATAAACATGTGCTTTTCTGATATTTTACTCGTATCTATCCAAGCAATAATTGGACCAACTTTGAATCTGCTACAAAATTTTTCAAGGAAGTTTGATTTTTTTCGTCAACTTTGGGGTTGAATTTCCCCCCTTCAACCTTGAGATAAACATGTGCTTTTTTGATATTTTACTCGTATCTATCCAAGCAATAATTGGACCAACTTTGAATCTGCTACAAAATTTTTCAAGGAAGTTTGATTTTTTTCGTCAACTTTGGGGTTGAATTTCCCCCCTTCAACCCCGAGATAAACATGTGCTTTTCTGATATTTTACTCGTATCTATCCAAGCAATAATTGGACCAACTTTGAATCTGCTACAAAATTTTTCAAGGAAGTTTGATTTTTTTCGTCAACTTTGGGGTTGAATTTCCCCCCTTCAACCCCGAGATAAACATTTGCTTTTTTGATATGTCCCTCGTATCTGTTCAAGAAATATTTCCACCAACTTTGGTGGTGCTACAAAATTTTCGATATCTGATTTCATTTACATTTTTGGGGCGGAATCTACCCCCTTCAACCCCTCCCTGGACATATGATTTTTCAGTATGTGACGTACATCACCCTCAGTATTATTTCCACCAAGTTTGATGATGTTACAGAATCTTTTAGAATAGATTTTTTGATTCATTATATTTGAGGCACTACTTATTTGGTCGACTGTAAAAACATGATTTTCATTTCTGAATCTGTTGCTAACTTCAACGACGTTATTTTATCTAAAAAAACAAACAGATAAAAGTATGCGTCTATAACTACCTAAGCCTAATATTACCTATTTCTCTCCTGCCATTACCATCTCTACCTAATAACTAATACAAAAAGCCTTAAATTTTATTAAAAAACCCTACATTAACTGCCCGTTCTATAAATACTTTTGTTGAACTAAAATAATTTTATTGTTTATATATTTAGTATTTTTAAAAATATTGGATCTTTATAAAACATCTTTATAAAACTAGAAACTCTTGTTTCAAATAATTTTATATTGTTTAGATTTTTTATATCCATGGGTAATAAATTGTAAAATTTTGGAGCAAAATATGTTATAAATCTTTGAGTGGTGGTCTTTGCCTTGAGTGGAGCAGTTAGTTTTTGTCTTGCATTATTTCTAGTGTTATATGAAGACATTGGTCTTGACCTTAACTCTGGTTTTTTAAAAATATAAGTTAAAACTGCCTTACAGTATAACTGACGTATATTCAGAATACCACAATCTTGAAAAAGAAGTTGAGTTGAATATCTTTTTTGTTTGTTATATATTATTTTAAGCAAATATTTTTGGGTTACCTCAAGTGCCCTTATAGTTGTAGAAAATGTTCCACCCCAAACAGATATACCATATCTAACAATCGATTCAGCCAACGCAAAATACAATGTTCTTAACATGCCAATTGGCATAGAGTTGCGCATGTTGTAAAATTTCCATATAAGTTTTCTAAGCCTACTATTTACATATTCGACGTGTTTGTCCCACTTTATATTCTTATCAACTAAGACACCCAAATATTTAATGCTATCAACTTTACTCAAAAAGTTTTTACATTGACTTACATTGACTTACTTATTCTCAGTTTCCTGGAGAAATTTTTTTGTGTTTGTTGAGGGCAATCTGTAGACAGATATAATCTGAAATAGATAATTATCGTAATCAATATTTAAAAGAGCAAATGTATTTTCCGTGTAGCATTGGCAGTTAATTGAGACAACCTGTATTCCACTCCTGACAAAGACTAAAACACCATCGCTTTTGTTAAAATTTCCATCGGAGTAAAATATTTTATAATTTGGTATTTCAAAGTTTTCTATACAATTTATTTTCCAAGTTTCAGTTAGTATAATAATATCAAACTGACATTCTAGACTTTCCAGCAAAATTAATAATTGTTCATAATTTTTATTTATACTTCGTATATTAAGCTGAATTAAAAAAATCGTTTTTATAGAAATTAATTTTAGAATGTTCCAATATTTTTGTTTCTATTTTAGCATATTCATTTAGTTCTAAATCATAAGACAAAATATTCATACAAAAGGTTACTTCTAGCAGATAAGAGAGATTCAGTAATTAGTAAGATATTGCAAATACTTAAGATAGAAAAAAAAAGTCTGATAAAATTTGCGATGTTTTGCAGATATTAAAGAAAAGTACAACGCCAACCTAAATTAGCTCCCGATGATTAAGTTTACTTGATAGATTTTAAAAAGAAAAAGTATATATATACATATTTAATATTTATTTTAATTTTTAATGCAATATAAATTCAATAATTCAAGCCCTAAAAATATGCTAGGAAATAAGTTGTTCCAAATCAGTTTCACTCTGTATTTTATATTTTTTGTCTTCTATTTTAACGTATATGTTACCCTCCAATGTGAAAACAGATTTTCTGTCGATGGATTCTTGACATTTTCTATAAAGAAGCAAACGGTTTTTATCCAAATCTTCGGTGATGCTAATCTTGGTGCCCTTTAGGTTTTTAACGTTTTTGAGAATAAGGCCCCTTTTCTTTAATGAATCCATTTTTACAATAACTGGCCTTGTTTTTGCTTTTTTGTTGCCAACACGTCCAACACGGTAACATTTGACTATATCCATTGGGGTTATGTTTATTTTTACCTTGTGCTCGAACATATCCAACACTTGTTCTTCCAGTGGCTCATTGTTTTCAGGAAGCCCATAAATGCACAGGTTATTTCCACGCTGGTTTTGTTGAAGTTGTGCTATTTTGTTTTCCAAAATGGTAATGTTGTCGTTTTGTTTATTTACCGTTTTTTGCAGCACATCCATCCGATCAGTTACTTTTTTTAATAATTTGTTTATAAACATATATAAACAACCAGTATTTTTAAACTATTTTGATAGGTACCGAAGGGTTTCCAGAAGATCGATCAGACTTGCCAAGTGGACTCACTTTCAGAATAGGATAAATAAGTCTTCTAATAGATCAAGGGAGACTTGGAAAATTGTAAATGACCTAAGGGGTAGGAATAATGTTTCAGTCACTTCAAGCGATCTGAATCCTGATGACCTAAATTCCTTTTACTGCAATATTGCCACTGAACTCTCAGCCAAAATTTCAACAGGGAATGATCCCAGGAGCTATCTGAAACATGTAGCAGTGGCTGAATCTTTCTTTCTAGCTCCAACTAATGCAGAAGAGCTTATATGTATACTCGGTAATATCAGGAATAAGGGTGCGTCGGGTTGGGATGGGCTCTCATTGAAGGTTTTTTAGCTTTACCCATGGTTGCTTTGCAGGTTCTTGCTGAGGCAATTAACATTTCTTTTGTGTCGGGGGTTTTTCCATCTTGCCTGAAGAGAGCAGTGATTATCCCTCTATATAAGGGTGGAGAGCACGATTCTCCTTCGAATTTTAGACCTATAGCATTATTGCCTCCTCTGGCTAAGGTTGTAGAGAGGCTTGTTAAGGTTAGGATGTTATCGTTCTTTAACAACCGTGGCCTTTTAAGTTCTCAGCAGTGCTGGCTTTCGTGAATCCATGAGTACGGGGGATGCCATCTTTGACTTTCTTGAACACCTTTACAATAGTCTGAACTGTGGCGAGGTCGCTGCAGCGGTGTTCTTTGATTTGTCAAAGGCTTTTGACTGTGTGAGTCACGGAGTGCTACTGTGGAAACTCGAGCTGTATGGTTTCAGAGGAACTGCCCTAGAGTGGTTTCGTTCTTACTTGTCGGATCGCGTTCAGACTGTCAAGTTTAATGGTGGTACCACTAAGGAACTTGATATTAGTGTGGGCGTCCCACAGGGCTCGGTACTTGGTCCCCTGCTTTTCCTCATTTATGTAAATGATCTACCACATCTTCAGATAACGGGTAGATTCACAATCTTTGCAGACGATACCACTATCCTTTGGCATGATTCTGATGTGGGTAGAATGGAGGCCAATATGAGGACGCACTTGCTTGGAATAAAGTGCTGGTGCGACGCCAATTCTCTGACATTCAATACATCTAAGACTAAAATCCTCAAGTTTAAATGTGCTACCGAGGATATCTACTTGGAAAATGTACCCATCACTACGCCAACGTTTAATAAATTATAAATTCCTGGGTTTGTTAATAGACAGGTCCCTTAAGTTTAAAGACCACATTGCAAAAGTATGCAACAAAATTTCGTCTGGTTGCTATGCCCTTAGAGTTATTGCTAATAACCTAAATTTCTCCACTGTCAAATGTGCGTATTTCGCGATTATTGAGTCCCATCTTCGATACGGAATCTGCTTCTGGGGCTCTTGTTCTGACTATCTTTTTAATTCAGTGTTCTTACTTCAGAAAAGGGCCATCAGATACTTGTGCGGAGCTAAACCTCGGGATTCGTGTCGCCCTCTGTTTCTGAGCCACGGTATTCTAACTCTCTTTGTCTGTTTATTCTGGAAACGGCCTGTTTAGTCTTCAGGAAGTATAAGTGCGAATTGGAGCTAAGGGGCCAATACAATACGCGCCAGGATAACGTGATGAGATTGCCTATCCCCCACTCAGAACTCATCCGTAGCTCTATCATATATGAACGCAGAAAATTATTTAATAAACTTCCTTTAAAGATCAGAAAGCTCAACACTGAAAAGAGGCTTCGTATAAAAGTAAAGATATTTCTGACGGGTAAAACATACTACAGTTTGAACAAGTTCTTTAATGATGTAAGGTTTTACGTATTTTGATTTTTCTTTCACCTCGCCTAGTCTTGGCTATTTATTGTAATGTTTTTATTTTTAAATTTTTATTGTATCTAATGATTTAATTTATGCATCTTTTATACATTGACTTATATTTTTATTGTATTTTTGTTTTTACTTTTATTTGTATTTTTATGTCTGTTTGTTATTTTAATTGTACATGTATTTCAATTTTTGGCATTTACTCTCACATTTATTTTGTTTTTTATTTTAATAGCTGTTATATTTTATTTTATTTTTTGTATATTTTTATTCTTATTACTTATTTACATTGCCTGCTAGGGTGCTTTGTACATAAGATGTTTTACTTTTTACAATAAAGCATATTTTGATTTGATTTGATTTGATTTGATATTCCTATAAAGAGATATCGTACTTCTACCTTTCCGAATTAGATGTTTGCTTTTCCAACCTAAGAGCGCAATGCGAGACTTTGCGTGGGACTTGCTATCAACAGTATATGAATGGAATTGAGAATAACTTATCTGTCAATCCACGATGTTTTTGGTCATATATTAATAGCAGGAAGAATGGTTGTGTGTGGTCCTCCTCCAAGATGGTCTTACAACGGCAGAGTCGTTGATAACCCAGCAGATGTCACTCACCTGTTTGCTGAGTATTTTTCGCAAGATGTCATGGATGGGATATCATCCTTCCAGTTCGATAACTCGCTGAGCATAAGTAGAATCCAAGTTTCTTTGGGAGAGGTTTTCGAATCGATAAAGGGGTGTAAGGATAAATTGAGTGCGGGGCCTGATGGGATACCGGCTTTTTTTCTGAAAAGATGTGTTTGTGCGTTGGTATTACCAATTTCGCACATTTTCAATAGATCTCTGGATACGGGTTGCTTTCCAAAATTTTGGAGGGGTAGGTAGTTTCTTGAGTCTAACCTAGAAGTCTTGAGCCAGGGAGGAGGCCACAAATTACCGGGCGGTTTGTAATCAGTCGGAAATACCTAAAGTGCTTGACTTATTAGTAAGTAAAAAGCTGTCCTGGACTTTTCGAAATCTAATCAGTCCAGAGCAATTTTGGTTTTGTTAAGGGTAGATCCACTGACTCAAACTTAGTATTATGTTAACTACATTTTTAACTGCTCGGAAAGGGGCATTCAGGTTGACTCGGTCTATACCGATTTTTCTAAGGCGTTTGACCGGGTCATCGCAATTAAGGCTTTGGGTATCTGCATTTCTGTTCATTCTTGGATTTATGATTTCGTGACTGGTAGAACGCAAATGGTGAAGATGGGGGGGTCTGTTTCGAACGAGATTAAGGTTTCTTCTGGAGAACCGCAGAGGTTTCCCACTGTGGCCCAGTACTTTTTTGCTTGCTTTTGACGGACTTGACCCGGAGGATGAGGAACAGTAGTGCCTTGCTGTTTCCTGACGATGTTAAGCTATATTTAGGGAGATTAGTCTAATGGATGCTGTTTGCCTACAGGATGATTTGGATTCTTTTTCTGAGTGGTTTGTGGAGAATAATACTAGGCAAAGAGACCCGATTAACTTTGTGTACTCAATTGATCACACACCGCTCAATGTCAAGACTGAGATTTCAGATGTTGGTGTTCTGATTGATTTCAGACACAGATTTTCGAGTCACATTAGCCAATTACATCCAAGGCTATTAGGGTACTTGGCTTCATCCAGAGATCCTCAGCTGATTTTTCTGTGTTCACATTCAAGAGGCTGTATTGTTCTCCTGTCCGACCGATTCTGGAATACTGCTCATTCGTTTGGTCTCCTTCGTACAATTGCTATATTCAACAAATAGAAAGAGTCCAAAATAAGTTTTTAAGGATAGCAGCTTTCAGGTCTGGTTATCAGAGAGAGGAGTATGAATATGAGTGGATTAGAAGTGATCTATCTTTGCATTCTCTGGAGGCAAGGAGAATTTTGATCGATATGTGCTTTCTGCCCAGGGTGATCAATGTGGCCATTGACTGCCATCAATTGTTAACCCTGGTTCGATTCAGGATCCCTTCTGGAAGCAGGCAGTCTGATAGTTTCTTGGTTCCCTTCATGATGGAAGGGAACCAACTACGGTGTTAATAAGCCCATCTCTCGTTTGGTTGGTAGGGCAAATAGTTTGGCTAAGCAAATAAAATTTTTTGATTCCAAACTGATAAAATTTAAAAAAGATCACTTGAAGAATCTATTGTGATACTCTCACCTGCTCTTACATATAGGGAAACTGGAAACGCTTTTTATACAGGGTGAATCTGAAAGCGAAGCCTTTTTTTAACAGGGTATACAATGTGTTTGGTAGGTCGATGCATATATATTGTGGGAGGTGAGAGTAAGTAATTTAGAACTTATTTCCTATTTAGTCAAACTTACCTTAGTACCAAGTCTTATGGTTTTCAAAATATGGCCGATTAAATTTTTTCTTAAAAAAATCTCACAAATCCTTTGTTGGGAGCTTTAATGCGATATTCAGAAATACTGTCTCAATTATTTTTGTTCTGTACCTTAAAGGAATGTGTTTTTCTCGTGTTAAATGCATTAACAATAAAATAAATAACAAATGAACAATAAGTGTGCCATTTTAATATCATATTTATTCCATTGCACGTTAAGTTTTTTCGGAAAAAAAAAATAGGACAAAATAAAGACAACCAAGGTTTTCAAAGTAATTTAAAAAACTCTGTTCACATGTGCCTTTTCAAATTGCACATATCACAAATTATTTTTTTTTTTTGGATTGCAGCACAAAAATCATTTAGGACTACAGATTCCCAAAAATGAGTAGGTAAGTATTTACGGAAAAAACTACTAGAGACTAGCCTTATTTTTCTTCTTTTTACCAACAAAAT